ACGACGACGACGACGACGACGACGACGACGAGGAGGACGACAAGGAGGAGGACGCGAGGACAGTTGCTTGACGGCCACGCACGCCCTCGAGGATGGAATTGAGAGCCTGGCAGCCGACGAGCGCGTTAGCACCGATCATTCGCGGGTTCACGGTTCACTCATTTAGTCGACTAGCTGAGACGGAGAAGAAGCAACAGAGGGTGTCGCACTGGCAAGGATCGGGCGAGGATCGCGAAAAGACTGAGAGCAGCAGCAGCAGCAACAGCAGAGCGGAGGAGCGAAGGGGAGAGAAAGCGATAAACTCGAGGAGGCGAGAGAGGGATAGTGGCGAAAAGAAAAGAGGAGGCGAGGCGAAAGAGGAGAAGAAGGAGGACGAGTATCGAGCGTTGGACGCGGAAAAGAAAGAAGAAGAAGAGGAAGGTCTCCTGGCAGGAGGGCCCCACAGATGCGGGGCCCGGAGGGGCCAGTCCGCGGCGGCGTGACGCGATGCGGACGTCCTCCTCCTCGTCTCCGAGGAAGAGGAAACACCTCTCGCCTCTCGACCCTATCGAAGAAACAAGACTGCCTCCGTTCGACAATAGTCTCGGCCTGTCGTTTCACTTGCGCGATGATCGCCGCGTCGACGCTGTCTTCCAGCGACGCCTCTCGCCGTTGGAGGCTCGATCGTCGTGGTATCATCCGGATGCTGAGAACTCGACCACGACGACGACGACGACAACAACGACGAGGAGGAGGAGAAGGAGAAACGGAGACGGATCGGTGGAGACTCGTTACGAGAGCAGGGCCGACCGGTCGAAAAAGTATTTGGCGACAATGGTCGTGTTCCTCGGATTGTTGTGCGGACATTGGTGCTCCGGCGGAGCGGAGGCACTCGCCGGCAACCAGAAGTACAGCACGAGAACGATCAGGACCAGGTACGGGACGTTGCGCGGCGTCGAAGACCGATCGTCCACCTCCGTGGAAACTTATTACGGCGTGCCGTACGCTACGCCGCCGATTGGATCGCTGCGATACATGCCGCCGGTCACGCCGACACCATGGCGTGGCATCAAGCTGGCCGACACCATGCCACCCGCCTGCCCCCAGAAGCCACCGGAGCCAGACTCGAGCCAGCCACGCTCGAAACGCGCTCATCTCAAGAGGCTAGCGCCGTTGTTGGCCAACCAGAGCGAAGACTGTCTATACCTGAATCTCTACGTACCCAAACGTCCTCACGGTGAGTGAGTCCCTTTTTTTTCTTCTCTCTGATTTTCCTCTCGCTCTTTTTCGAATTTTGCTGCTAATTTTTGCTGCCAATTGTCTTTTCAAGTTGATTTATTGACGAGTCGAAACATTTAGACTCGACACGCTGGCCAACAGGCGACCAACAAAATCGTATCGATTTTTAACCTCTTGCGCTGGCAACTGGTTCGCGGACCATAACGAGCGACCAAACCTTATACAATAATTCGTCGCTTTCTTTTTGAATTCTAGATAGAAATTAAGAACTGATAAATTTGTTGTTTGTTTTGCCTGGATTATATTTAAGTGTACTTAAAACTGAGGAAATATTGCAATTTTGGGACAAAAAATTCTCAACAAAATTAACCTCTTGCGCCGGCAACTGGTTCGCGGACCATAACGAGTGACCGAACCTTATACAATAATTCGTCGCTTTCTTTTTGAATTCTAGATAGAAATTAAGAACTGATAAATTTGTTGTTTGTTTTGCCTGGATTATATTTAAATGTATTTAAAACTGAGGAAATATTGCAATTTTGGGACAGAAAATTCTCGATAAAATTAACTTCTTGTGCCGGCAACTGGTTCGCGGACCATAACGAGCGACTAAACCTTATACAATAATTCGTCGCTTTTTTTTTGAATTCTAGATAGAAATTAAGAACTGATAAATTTGTTGTTTGTTTTGCCTGGATTATATTTAAGTGTACTTAAAACTGAGGAAATATTGCAATTTTGGGACAGAAAATTCTCGACAAAATTAACCCCTTGCGCCGGCAACTGGTTCGCGGACCATAACGAGCAACTAAACCTTATACAATAATTCGTCGCTTTTTTTTTGAATTCTGGAAATTACTAAGAAGTGATGAATTTGTTGTTGCAAATTGCGTTTAATAGATTAAAATGAGATAGCCTGTATACAGATCGTGAGTGAAACCGAGACTTTTCGTGGAAATTTTAACGCATTCGGTGCCACGTGCACCAAATTTTTCGACTGAGATTTAAAGCCATTAAGAAACGTATTGCAATAAAATGATTGTCGTTGTCGTCGTTACGCGTTCACAAATGTTAAAAAAGTTTTACACATTTTTATAATTATCTTACTGCGTTTACTCGAAACCAGCTTGAGTAAATAAAATTTTTGTTATAATTTTAGAATTCCTTTGGCATATGCCATGATTTTGGAACAGTTTATTCAGAATTATTCACTTGAAATTAATGGTGGACTTGATTAAAATGGCTGACAAATGAAGATTTCAAAGAGATGAGTCCTAAAAGAATTTTACGTATTTCGTTTTAAAATCCTTTACCATATGTTAGAACTATGTTTTTGGGACAGTTTACGCTCAAAATCAGCTTTGATACTAAACCGTTGACGATTAAAAAAAATTTTCAAAGAGATATATCACCGTATTCATGACTATTATGTGTTTTAAATATTGTTCGGAGCAATTCGTACTACAATATCCCAAATTTCGTTGGTTGGTAATTCTTTGCAATCTCAAACGTTTTACTAAAACGACGAGTTACGCAGTAATTAACAAATGTTTCGTACGACTGATCGATCTCTTATCTGCGACTTACTCGATCTTGAATCACATCATTTTACGCGCTGTTAGAAGAAGAGATCTGAAGCTGTTTGCGAATGTTGAATTTCTGTTTCATTCTTGTAGAGAAGATTCAAGATAAAGTTTTCCTTTTTTTTTTTTTTTATATAAAACTTTACTCGTTATTTCAAAGAATATTTCGCGAATATTACGGAACAGTTACGCGAATGTTCGTTATCTGACCTCGCAGGGGTTGCAATCTCGTTTAGATAAGGGAATTCATTTCGTTATCAGCTCTGAACTCGAACGTTGAACAATGCGCGCGCGCGCAGTGTGAACGAATTTACACGATTGGCCAAAGTTGAGTTGTTTGCACGCGAAACAACTCAAGTGAAATTTTATAGCCATTTCCGTCTTCAATGTTCAGTTCTTTTTTCTTCTTCTCAATGGCTATTAATTCATTGCAATCGCGCGTTTACTGAATTTTTATGTCTTTGTACGTAGAATAAATTTAATTCTTTACACATAGAATAACTAAAAATTCTAATTAGTTTGAATGACGTCGTGCTTGATGGGCCATAAAATTTAATCAAGATATTATAAAAATTACGTTATCATTTGTGAAATATGCGCGCAGAAATTCTACGCTTGGAATTTACGAAATTACGTAATTTCTCTTGTGACTGACATTTACGATGATCTACGCAAAAACATAAAAATAACGCAGATATTTTGTGCAAA